ACCCAGCGCTGTCAACAGAACCCAGCGCTGTCAACAGAACCCAGCGCCCTGTCGACAACTGCCGGCACCGGCAGCACTCAGCTAGAAGCCGCAGACGTGGCTTCTCTCACGTACAATCCCCTAAGACAGGGGTGTCAAACCCACTTACAAAAGGGGCCAAAATTAAAAAAAAATCAAACTAAGGGCCAATTTCAGAAACGACGTTAACTCAAACCAGACACCGACATCTTTTCTTGATCACAGGTTCCTCAACCAGAGTTTGATTGGTCTCATTTGATGTCTGTTGTGTTTTCAACATCATAATCGAATGTTTCAAAATTCAAGAGATAGAAGTATTTTACGTTTCACATACCATATGGGGGCCAGATAAGATGTCAACGAGGGCCACATTTGGCCCCCGGGCCTTGAGTTTGACACATATGCCCTAAGAGATGAGCGCCCTGCCAAGGCTAGTGACCTCGGGGAAACACTGTGTGTCCTCTAGGATTCATAAAAATTAATAATAATAATTTCACAAAATGTTTTATTGCACACGAGAGAACTTCTTTCTCTAAATCTGCTTTTTTTTTTTTTTTTTTTGTGAAAATGTTTCTTCGCTCCAACAAAAGTTCAGTCAGCTCATCTGAACGGTTTATTGTTTTGGTGAAACATTTTGTCCTTCATCCAAAGGACTTCCTCAATCCGAGGAGCCGCACACAATCAAACTCAGAGAAAATAAATAAATAAACCGTTTTTGAGGTCACGGCACCAAAGTTTTTCAAAAAGAAAAACTCTGAAAAGAAACCGTCCAGATGACCGGACTGAACTTAGCTGATGTTTGAGCATGAACGTTGGTGATGAAGAGGAGTCGACGGGGGAGAGGGCGGGCCCCAGAAACCATCTTATCACCAGCGAACTGGTTGGTCCACTGTGTGCTGCTTGTGGGACTGAGTTTGTTGGTGTGCGGTAGAGTTGCATTCAGGTCGAAAAAATCCGACCCGGCCCCGGCCCGTAGCCATCTTTTCTGAACCCCACTCGAACCGATGAATTAACAGTAATTACAGGTCCGAACCCCCCCGACATTTTAATTAAGCGTTGACTGCTTAGAATTATTAATGGTCGGCGGACGCGTGGTAAAGTTCGTTTTACGTTGGACGTTCGAGCTCCGTGGCTTCAGCGGTGTGTTCATCTCATCCGAAATCAGACTGCCTGCATCGAACGAGAGGAACACCCCGCTGAAGCCACGGAGCTCGAACGTCCAACGTAAAACGAACTTTAGCACGGTGACGCGCAGCTGAATAAAAGGGGCAGAAGATCGCAGCTGGGGGGGTGTTTGTCCTTTCATGGCCGCCAAAGAGCATTTAAACCCCGTTTCTGCCTTCATTCTGCATTATGCAGACACGGACCCTGCTCTCACCTGTTTGGGTCGTCGGCCACGTGCGTCCGCTGAGCGCAGCGGCTGTTGAACAACCGTTTGGGCGGTGGATCGCTGCCCGGCAGTGTAGTCCCATCTGAAACTTAACTGAACTTTATTTTACCTCTTTCAAAGACGGTAAGTTCGCCGTGAAATGGCCGTGTGTGGATGGTAAATGTATGGCAAGCCATGTTGTCATATAATTGGATTTATGGCAAGCCATTTTTCTATACAATTGGATTTTATGGCAAGCAATGTTGCCATATAATTGGATTGCGGCTGATTTGCTGATGCAATCAAAAGCCCGGCACCGACCCCGCCCGCCCATCCAGCACATTATTATGACCCAGCCCGCCCCAATTCGTGTCGGGCCCAGGATAAAAATGGCAGCTTCAGTGTGTGGCTCCTCGGATTGATGAGGTCCTTTGGATGAAGGACGAAACGTCTCAAAAAAAGAAACCGTCCAGATGACCTGACTGAACTTTGATGGATTTTTAATCTGTATTATTGAGCATGAACTTTGATGTTTCTTCGTTCCATTTAAGCATTAAATACGTTCTAAAGGATCTAATCAGGAACTCCTGCTAACATTCCATCTTCTGGTTTACCTTGTGCGGCGGCTGGCTTCTTCCTCCTTCTCGAACTGTTGAAGCTTTTTTACGAAGAGCGCCTCTTTCATCTGCCGGCTTTGCGGTCCCGTCGTGCTGACGCTCGGTAAGGCTGGAGGGACACGGGCGCCGGAAAAACAAGAGCGGAGGACTTTGTTTACAATTCTAAGGAAGTAAATAAATGGAACTAAAGGATACAACAAACAGGTTTTACTGGATTGGATGTGAGAGTAAAGTCAGTGGGACGCATCTACCTTGCTTCAGGTGTTTTGAAGAGGGTTTATTCACGTCTTTGATGAGCATCTTAGCCACCCCTGCATGAGTAAAGATGTCCGCTGGAGGCGTTGGTCGGTGGCCAACGTCGCTCTGATCTTTCTGTGTTCGGAGCAAAGAAGAAACGAGAGATAAACAAGTAAAACATTTGAAATCTTCTCGTCAAACACATCTTTTCTTCTTCTTCTCTCCTTCCAGCCAGATGATGAGATCCAGCAGAAGTGGTGGTTCTTTTATTCAACCTTTGACCCACCTTGAGATTGTCTGCATCTTTGCTTGAACGTGGAATGCTTTTACGTCGAGGAGACCGTTTGGCAATAGGCGGGAGTCTTTTGTCTCCTGCAAGTCCTGGGCTCGCTTCCAGCTGGCTGTTATTGGGACGAGTAAAGAAACAAGAGAACCGCATACGACTCATTGTACGGCCGTCGACAAACATTTATACAGTGATCTACGGCAATGGCCCTGGAAAGAAAAGACCTTGCATACGTTTGACCTTGATTTGTGACCTTGACCTCAGAGTTAGAGTGATGAAAAGATTATGGGGCACACAGTCTAGTGGTGGTACAAATGTGTCAAGTTAAATTATGTTGAGCGGCTCATGAGTTATGGTCCAAAAAAGGCAAATATCGTGTTTAACCTTGACCTTGATTTGTGACCTTGACTTTGGAGCTGGCATGATGAACAGTAGATTCAACGTTCCATCTAGTAATGATGCATTGGTGTATGAAGTTTCACTGCATTATCTTGAGCGGATCAAAAGTTCTGGGTGGGATACGAGAAAGTTTACAGACACACTGTACGTACTATAATACGTCTTTCAACGGGCGTATAATAATATAATATGTATAATAACAACTGAGTCAAGCTCACGTCAGTTTTATCGTCATTCCCATCACATGTGGTTCAACATGAGGTGGAATGAAATTATGTACTCAGGGTCCCAGTTACACCCAAAAATAGAAAGTATAAAAAGAAACAGGATCTAAGATATACAGACCCTTTTCAAAAAATTAGAATATCATGGAAAAGTAGTTTAACTTCCATAATTCCATTCAAAAAGTTAATCTTTAATAGACGATAGATTCAGGGCCACAGTTTAAACTATTTCAAATATTTATTTGTTTATTTTTACATAATTTGAGCTTCCAGCTCATGAAACCCACAAAAACAGGATTTTAAAAAAATTAGAATACTGTGAAGACATCAGTCCACACTGCTCAGTTGAAAAGAAGAAATAAATTAGGATCACAACAAGTCAATTAAAATATGGTTCTTTCAAAACCATATGTCAATCTTCAGTAACTTGGTTGTGAATCTCTGTCTTCATCTCTGCCTCGATGTGACATTGAGACAATCAGCCTGTGCATTGACTGGGAGTTCTGGAAGCCCAGACTTCCTTCATGCTGTCAGATCTTTGTTGTTGTTGCTCTGGTGCTCCTCATGTTCCTCTTGAGAAGACCCATAGATTCTCAATGGGGTTTAGGTCCGGCGAGTTGGCTGGCCAGTCGGGCACTGTGGCATCAAACCAGGTTCTGGTGCTTCTGGCAGCATGGACAGGGACCAGGTCCTGCTGGAAGATGAACTCTGCATCTCCATACAGATCCTCAGCAGAAGGAATCATGAAGTCCTCCAAAACATTCTGGTAGACTGTTGCTGTGACCTTGAATTTAAGAAAGCAGAGTTTACCAACATCTGCACCGGACACTGCACCCAGATCAAGACTGACTGTGGATATTTCACACTGGACCTCAACCAGTATGGGTTCTGTTCCTCACCCTTCTTCATCCAAACCCTTGGACCTTGACTTCTGAATGAAAGACACTTTACTTTCATCAGAAAAGAGGACCGAGGAACCCGACAGTTGTAGTCCATCTCCCGGATCTGGATGTGGTGGTTTTTGAAGCTGTGACTCCGCCTCGTTCCACTCTTTCTGGATCTCTGACAGATTCTGGATCTTCTCTGTTCGATGATCCACTGAAGCTCATGGTCATCTCTGTTGCTGGTGCATCTTCTCCTGCCACATGTTGTCCTTCCACTAGACTTTCCATTGATGTGCTTGGACACAGCGCTCTGTGAACAGCCAGCCTCCGTAGCTATGAACGTTTGTGGCGTACCCATCCTATGGAGGACACCAATGATGGTCTTCTGACCAGTTATGTCTGCAGTCTTCTCCATATTGAACCGAACTGAAGCAGTTTAATGACACCTGGGGGAACCTGTGCAGGTGCTTTGAGTTTAGTAGATGATTCGTGTCACACTCAGTTTGAAACATTCATGTCCTGCAACATTTGGGCTGATGTCTCCACAATATTCTAATTTTTTTAAATCTCTCATGTGAGACAGCATCGCAGGTGACTAATGCTAATCAATAACATTTAACACTTTTCATTTAATATAAGTTAAAGTGCTATAAAAATCATATGGTTGTTATTGAATATGTGTCACCAGCTGTTGCAAAAATTTGTAGCAAATAAATCTAAATAAGAGAGCTATGTTCTTCATCACAATCATTACATTATTTTATTTACAATATTACTCATTTACATTCCACGCTGTTTTAATGCTCATAATTGTGAATAAAAGTTAAATTCAATGGTGATTTTAACATAAACCGTTTTGTGTTCAATTCAGAGGGATTTATAGAATGAAAGAACTCGTGCTTTGATTAAGGAACTGGTCCCATCCATCTTTTATTTCTTTGATCTCTTCCTCTACATCTTTACTGGCTAATAAAAATAAAAGTCTAAATAAATAAGACGCGGTTGTTTTAATGGCTAACAGAACCGGAACTAAAAACAAACACCATCAGTTCATAACTTTGTTCACTTAATGACCAGAAACTAAACAAACTGGGCGGAACAAAACAGATAAAGTGCTAACGAGCGCAGCGGATAAAAGAAAAGGTTATGAATAAACGAAGGACTTCTTCTACACAAGTGAGGCTGTCTCGTTCTTTACGAGTATGAGATGACGCTCATCAAACACGGCTTTAAATCACAACCGATCCAGCGCATCTGTGTCAACAACGTTTATGTGAGGAGTGATGACATCGTCCAGATTAGATAGTGTGAGATTGATTATGGTGATAGGGAATGCAGAAGAGAACAACGGTCGTTAAGCTATCAAGTAGAAAGTGACTAAAGAAAGTTTGAAGTGTTTATGATATAGTTTCTGCCGTGTTTCATGCGGGAGATATGACGAGTTAAATGGCCTCGTGTTTCCAGTTTTAAAGAGAAAATGGAAGTCGACGGGTGTTTGGTTGTGAGCTTTCTGCACCTACATAAACCTGTACAGCAGTGACAGAAGACAAAAACTCCATAGTTCTGGTTTATATTTTGTGTATTAAATGTAACGATTAGGCTTTTGAAAAGTTTAAAGAGCTCAAAAGTTGAGTGTTTGAAATCTCCATGGCAAAATCTATAAAATGACGTCGTTAGAAAACGTTCAATTTATCAATGTACCAGTTCGTTCAGATGAAGTCCAACGTTCTGCAAGCTGCTGAAACTTGAAGCTGTGGAGCTCCAAGTATTGGAAATCCACTTGCCAACATCCAATTGTTACGTATGAAATTATTATTTTTTATTTCAAAATTTGTCAGAGTTGTTTGATGAACTTTGTTTGACGGCACCAAAACTCTGCTAGGCTATTCCTGATCAAGCTGTATGTAGCATACAAACAAGCCAAGCTCCATCTTACATTAAACATCTTCTTGTTCCTTATCGTCCTAACAGAGCACTTCACGCTCAGACTGCAGGTTTACTTGTGGTTCCTAGAGCTGCAAAAAGTAGAATGGGAGGCAGATCTTTCAGTTATCAGGCTCTTGTGGAACCAAACTACTCCTGGACCCTGTAAACTACCCCTAGACCATAGAAACTACCCTTGGCCATAGAAACAATATCTGGACAATAGAAACTACATATGGACCAAATAAACTACACCTGGACCATAGACACTACATCTAGAGCATGTAAATTACAACTGGACCATATACACTACACCTGGACTATAGAAACTACTCGTGGCCTGTAGAAACTACCAGCGGGCCAAACAAACAACTCATGGACCCTAGAAACTAACCCTAGACCATATAAACTACCCATAGATTATAGAAACTACTTCTGAACCATAGAAAGTATTCCTAGACCATATAAACTACCCATAGATTATAGAAACTACTTCTGAACCATAGA